CATCTCTCTAAGGAATGCACACACATGCATCCCTGCTATGCAGAACGATCCTCCTCGCGAAACGTTTTTTGTAAGTCAGTGAATGCTCGAAGGCTGTGGCTTGCGGGCGGGCCATTCGCAGTGGTATAGATGTGTTTTAAATCATGAAAGCGTGTACAGATGGCACTGCGACGAATCGACCGATAATCCCCGAGGCAACAGTGGCAGAAAAATACAGTCACTTCCTTGACAAACGCAAATGCACTTGCGGGAACATTGTGTCACGAGGATATGTCGGGTTTAACGTCCCAACACTACCATATGATTATGAGAGACGCTTCTGTTACGGTGTGAAATTTTCTTCCTCGCAGGTTACTCTTACAGATAAGGACGCAGTGGGTGTTACAAGTAGCACACACACATATGAGCATCATAAGTTATCGCAACAGCCATGTTATCTAATTAACAGAACCGGACAATAGTTGTCAGAAACAGACATTAGTTTTACCCAGTGCAGCAGCTTGACCTCGCAGAATCAGGCCTCAATAACCGACATTGTTGACAAGGCCTTGGAAAAGAATTTCAGAGCTTATACAGCAACTATTACTCAGACGATAGAGCAATCAATTTTTAACCATGTCAGCGCACTCGAAGCTAGAAACGCACAGCAATTTTGTGATCTTACAATGCCTTGGATTAATCAGATGGAATCAACCATAGCCAAATACAATCGACAAGTTACACAACTCAATGAAGGCAAACATCTCAAGGGGGTCAAGCAGCTGTCGGGGCGACGTGACGTGCCAGCTACAGCCCTGCTTTACACACCAACATGGATAGTGATGACGCCTCCACCATGCCCCGTGATGGCTAGCCAAGCTCGACAGTTTATTGTAATACAGTGGAATTGTAGGAGTTTGTGCCGTAAAGCAGCATCAATGCATCACTATATTACAACCTTACAATCAGTGCCAGAAGTAATAGCTTTAGAAACGTCGGGCAACACGCAGCCAAACTATCTAGGTATACGGTTCAGGCTAGTGCCGATGGCATATCAGCAGTTACGCTCGTCAATAACCATTATGCCACACTACAGCACGACTTTGTCCTCAGAGACGCTAGCTTGCAATATTTCTTCACCCAATTTCTTCCTCGCAACAAGTAACATAATTGAATATACGTTTTAAATATATACAGTCCGCCTACGGACCGCCAGCATACGTTTGCTTAAGTCATCCGCAAGGCGAATGCCATAGTAGGACGTGCTCCCCTACTAGTGCTTGGTGGCTTCAATGCCCAACACGCGGATTGGGGTTACGTCGTCAAGAATGCGAAAGGGTGTAAGTTGCACAACCTAAAGACCATCGAAGGGCTCACGCTACTTACGGACGACGACTATTCCACTCGGATCGGCAACAGCATATCACGAGACACATGCCCAGACCTTTCAAAGGCTCTCAATGCTCCACAACCAAAAGGACTAAACTCCCAGGAAGCGCTCAGAATCCACCGCTATATCATTCATGCTATCATAATATATGACTGCCATAAATCACACGATAAATCAGTCCATGTGGTAGATTGGCGTGCTTTTTGCAAAATAGGAAACTTTCCATTTGACTAGCCGCCCGATTCCTATGACGAATGGTCTCGAACACTGATTCGGCTGAGGAAAGAAGTGATCAAAGAAATGAAAAGTGACCGGGAAAAACCAGCAGTAGATTAGCATCCGCTGCACTTCTGGTATGCAATACGTCAGTTGACCAAACGATGGAAGCGCCAGAAGCTTAACTGCAAGCTCGAACTTCGCATCGCAGAAGTTGAAGTACAAGCAGAGGAATATGCCACCAAACTTTAAGAGCATACTTGGTTTACGAAGTGTGCGCACTCACGGGCACAATACAAAATAAATCAGCCTGACGCTTACTTCGGTATAGTATATACCCAGCACAATGACGTGGTCAGAGCCGCCCATCAAAACCTTCCGCGGGCAATCCAGGCTAATACAGGAGACACACAGCTCAACTATTCCCAGATCAATACCACCGTGAGTACATCAATACCTCCGTGAGCGTGGACCACGTCCCAGATTACGGCGGAATCGCAAGCCCTAAAATAGATCGAGATTTCACGGTTGCGGAAATTAGAGCGGCAATTGATATTATGGGTCGTGGAACGACTCCCGGCCCTGACCGAATTACTACCACCTTGATGGGCAATTTATTGACGATGTGCTGAATATATTTACTGATCTGATTAATAAGTATTAGATCAATGACATACTTCTTCAGAAATGGAAATCGGCCAAAATTACTTTCATTCTCAAACAAGGAAAGTCGATAAACATAGACAACCTTCGTCCCATTTTCTTCACCTCTTGTGCGGCAAGGTTATGGAGAAGGCACTGTACATTAGGCTCAATGAATAAACTAAAGGCCTTTTCCCAAATACCATTGTTGGCTTTAGAGCACGTTTATTGGCACATGATGCTCCATTTCACTTAAAGCACAACATCATCAATCACCCCAGTGGAGCCACCAAACTAGAATGCACCATTCTGGCCAACGATTTCAAAAAAGCATTTTATGAAGTCCGGTACTCGGCTATCCTGGCTAACCTGGCTAAAATAAAAAGCGGTAAACGTGCATAGAATTACGTGAGCAACTTCATGCACAACCGTCAACTGGCCATACAAGTAGGCAGCACTAATACAGCCCCCATCACAATGGGAAACTCCGGAACACCACAATTAACGGGCTATAATCTTACCACTCTTATTCAATCTCGCATTACTGAATCTCCCTAGATCACTCAGCGAGATATCCTGAATCCAGCACGCAATATACGCTGATGACGCTACTATGTGGCCGAACATTGGAAGCATAGGAGAGATGGAAGAAGCGCTTCAATGGGCCGCGAATGCCGCGCAAAGCATTCGTTGAACGTGCGGGCTTCGCTGCAGCCCAACTAAATCAGAATTTCTGGTATTCAGGCAACGTGGCAAATACATTCCCTTTATTATCCAGCTTGATCAATCCCAGGTCATGGAAGTGGAAACCATTTGCGTCCTGGCTGCACACATTATTAATCAGCGCAATAACAAGGTAGTGATTGAAAAGTTACGTACTACCTGCAAAAATACCACGTGAATGATATCTAGAATTGCCAATCGACACCAAGGCATGAAGGAAGCGGACATAGTGCGTCTTGTAAAACCATTCGTGATCAGTCGCGTCACTTACAGCTTTCCGTACCTGCACAATCTGAAAAAAAAAATAGGAACACAAATTAGACCTTGTACTACGGCTTTTATATTGAAAGCCCTCAATATACCCCCATGGACCATGAATGACCGAATATTTAGGATGGGCATATCTAATACAGCGTCCGAGCTGTTCGAAGCTCGGCGCACAAACCAAGTGATTCGGCTGGCGCCTACTAAGGCAGGTCGCGCCAGGCTAGACGCCCTCGGCAAAAATACTTCTATGCAGGTTGCCAGTAAACTATCACCACCATGAAAATGACAAAAGGAAGTCTATACTCGGCGTTTGCCACGCAATATGCACCCCGTCTATCACAAAGAGGCTAGCTGCCAGAGCCAAAGTACATGACAAATATGCAGATGGTGAAGTCACCTTCTTTGTGGATGCCACCGGACCCCTGCCCGAACCATGCCACGGCAGCCGTGGTAAACAGAGAACAGATCGTGAACTGCATCTCTGCTAGTGGAGTAAACATGACATCCATGGAAGGGGCCGGTATAGCCTTAGCCATGCGTAACCCGAAATTCACCTTTGCCCTCACGGATTCCCAGGTGGCGTATCGCGATTTCGCCGGAGGTGAACTAGGCCGGTTTACACATTCATTTCTGTAGCAGGCGTGGCTCGTCGTCAAGAGGGTCAGTGGATACAACAGCTATGGGTACCAGGGCACACAGGAGTTAGAAGCAATGAACGCGCTTCTGCCTCATTTCACGATATCTTACACCGGGCCTCCGTTGCTTCTTCCACAGCGCACCATCTTTCTGACAAGAACAATCCCCACCCACCCCTTTTTCGTATGCTGACATCCTGCAACACATCAGGTTGAGTAGGTGCTCTCTATTGCCACCTAACCCCAAATTAGATAGGGCATCGCAGGTCGCTTGAAGACGACTACAATTATCAGCATATCAAAATCCTTATGTTTATGCAAGACAAACCCTTTGATGTACAATCCACAGTTAAATTCTGTTCCCAGGCGGCCCCTTTATTTCATATGGTCTGGGAGGTACAAAATAATACCAGTACATCGGTGAATCATAATTCTACAATAGTCAAGTGTGAGGTGACCATTTTTAGCTATGACCACGTGCAGCAACAGGCGCTGGTCGATCAAGCCCACATGGTAGCAAGAGCCAATGGCCTTCCGGACTAGGTAGTCCAACCAGTACAGCATCCTATTTATTGTCAACAATTGTGTTATTCTCTCTCTCTCTCTCCTTTTAAGACGTGCTACTTCTGACTTTCTTTTTTTCATATCCTCGTACCACGACGTGTTCTCGTGACCTTCGTTCTTTTTTTTCTTACGTAGTTTGTCTTCCGCTGTCTCGAGGAGGTCAGGAGATATATTCATGGTCTTTATTTACCATGACCCACTAACGCACCTCATGACACGTTGGTTAAACTAAAACCTCTTATTCGAGGACCTTTCATTTCGTAGGAAAATGTGGTTAAGCGATTGTTGCTTGTACATGCAATATTTGCAAGTGCAATTTATTCCCACACATGCGCTATATTGAACACAGATTACAAACTAACGTGCACTAAAATGCACTGACCACGTTTTCTACCCTTGACCCTGTCATCCAAGCCCGCCATAGGTGATGTACTTCGTTATTTTTGTTTCGCCAAAAATTTTGAGAAAGGAAATACTGTATTGCACACCAAAAGCATGTTCTGGAGACGCCGAATTTTTTACATCATATTGGTTCTTTAGAAAATTAAGTCTTATTTCATTTAGCATAAAACAAATGCACTCACGTATATTGTGTTCGTGATGACGTAGGTGAACTGCACGCTGATGAGTCCTACGCAAAGCATGTGCAGTCCCAGTAGGCTGTACGAGAAGGACACCAGCTGAAGGAGACTCAGGTTTCTGTAGCTCGATCCTAATGTACTGATGAGCAGGAACAGGCTAGCCGCGCTGACCTGCAGGCATTGAGAACAGCTCTGGACTATGGAAATATGCTCGAGTACTGTACAGAGAATTCCAATTGTTTTTTTTTCAGCACAATCGAGTGATCAACATCAGTGGCCAGAAGTTACAGAGTCGTCCGCTATCAGGCGCACTTCTTGCAAGTTAGATAGCATTTCGCTGGGTTGCTGCTAATAGCTTTGGCTACCGGCGATCTATGAAACCAACTAGCGTGATTCTTCCTGGGAAGTTCTGTAAACACTTTCGGAAAGATAGAAGTTTTCACAGTCGATAACGTCATCTCGACGATGTGAATTGTGAATAGCGAGGCGTAGCTCTAATGCTCATCAGTAAAACTGTGAAACAGTCGGCCACACATAGTCCACGCAGACATTGGCCCACACTCACTGAGACGCCGAAGTTCACACCAGCACTCTACGGAAAACCTCGTTTTTGCATGTATTGCCAAAGAACGCTGCTACAAGTTGTCAAAGCGACCAATGGTTTTACTGTCGTAACTGCTCATTTCATTTGTTTTTCTGTGTGATGGTGGCGTTGCCGGCAGGTGAGTAAGCGGAGTGTGGGCGGCTTCTTAGGGTCATTTTCATCTCGCGGAGCTCCACTGACATTTCAGTAAATCCCTTAAATGCAGCTGCTGACAAAAGATACTGACGAAAAAGAGAGGGCGTGGCGAACGCGATTGCCGTTTTGTGTCAAACTATAGCATCTTTCATAGTAAGGTGAGCACCGGGGGAAAGTAACGCTCCCATTTGCAGCCATCTAGTGGGCGCTCTGAGTAGCAGTGAGCACAACAGAACAAAGTGCGCAGTTATAGAATCTTATGATTGAATAACTCCGAAAAAATTGGGCTTACCCTGAGGAAAATGACCTTCCTCCTAGAAACAAAGCACATTGTTGTTTACAGGTCATATTGCCACGTTCCATTTCCCAAGTTTTTGTTATCGTTCCGAAACCCCAAACAATTCCCGGCGCAAACCGCGCCTGCAGGTTTCGAGAAGGTTCCGGACTGTAGTAGATCATTTCGATAAGATCACGCCCACTGTGCGAACGGTACAGATTGTTCTGGAACCTACGCCACCGCCAGCGATAACGATAGAACCTTCGACGGCAAGGGTATAAATGCCGACGCGCTTCGCCGCTTGTAAGTTGTTGATCGAAGGCCGACGCTGCGTTCACCGCTATCAGTCCGAGTCTGCTATCTGTGCAAGACTGCTGTTGTAATTAGACTTTCCCTTTACCGGGCACAGGTTCGCCCAAATAAACAGTTAAATCCCAACACGAAGTTTCCTGTCTTCGGCCACGTCACGACCCCGTGACATCTGGTGGAGGTGCTGCTTCGTTCATGTACCGTACGCCTCCGTCAAGCCGTGAACCCAGCCCCCGTCGCGGAGAAAACACCGACGCCAACCAAGAGCAGCGAACAAGCCGCCGACAGCAAGGTCTCCCACCGGAGTACGGCCTTCTACAAGACAAGGCGCGGAAGACCAAGACCATGACCTCGACTGCAGCGACAATGACAACCGGAGCGTCCCAGCCCGCGATCGTCATTCATCAACCCAGAGAACCACCAACGTTCCATAGCTCATCGTTTGAAGACCCGGAAACCTGGCTAGAAACATACGACCGTGTGGCCGCCCTCAACCACTGGGACAACGAAGAAAAGCTCCGTTGTGTGTACTTCTACCTGGAAGACACCGCAAGGACCTAGCTAGAGAATCGGGAGTCCACGCTCCGAACGTGGAATGTCTTCTGCGGCGCATTTCTGCAAACGTTCGCGAGCGTCGCTCGCAAAGAGAGGGCCGCTGCTCTACTCGAGACCCGGGTTCAGCTACCAAATGAAAAGGTTGGAATTTTCACAGAAGAGATGACCCGCCTATTCCGTCACGCTGACCCAGACATGCCTGAGGAAAAGAAAGTTCGTTTCCTCATGCGAGGGGTCAAACAGGAACTCTTCGCGGGACTAATGAGGAATCCACCGAACACCGTCCAAGAATTTGTATCCGAGGCGACCACCATCGAAAAAACGCTGGATATGCGCACCATACAGTATAATCGTCGCCTGACTCCAGAATGCGCTACTGCTCAAGCCAGTGACTCCGACGACCTGCGTGAAACGATCCGAGCGATCGTGCGGGAAGAGCTGAGCAAACTGTTGCCTTCGGTGCAGCCTCAAGTGGATTCAATCGCCGACATTGTGCGAGAAGAAGTCCGGCAATCGCTTCGAATTCTCCAAACACCACCGCCCGAGCCAGAAACTATGAGCTACGCCGCTGCAGTGTGCCACAACGCAGCGGCGTAGCTCATGCCCCGTCCACGCCAAAACGCCGCCCCGTCGCACTTCCGTCGCCAGACGCCACCGCCGCCACCACCCCAACCGACGTCCTACCGTTCCCCAGCGGGCCAGCGCAGTGCACCGAGGAAAACGGACGTTTGGCGTGCACCTGACAACCAACCGCTCTGCTACCACTGCGGCGAGGCCGGGCACACATACCGCCGTTGCCAGTACCGACAGATGGGACTGCGTGGCTTCGCCGTCAATGCACCGGGTCCGCAGCCAGGAGATCGGCCACGTGACATCGCCGACTACCTGGCAGGAACTCAATGGACACCACGAAGTCCTTCCCGTTCGCCTTCGCCCAGCCGCCGCATGTCACCGCACCTCCGGCAGTACTCTGTCCCAACGCGGGGCCGGTCTTCTAGCCCGTATCCGGGAAACTAAGGGCAGCAACCGATGGAGGTGCGGTTGCTGTGCGACTAACTACCGAAGATCCTCCGACGACGACGACGCCGCGACGGAGCTTTTTGAACACAACACCAACCAGGCAAAGCCCTGAAGGCAAAAGCTCACTTACCGAAGGTGGCCGGACGACGCAACATGGAACCAGCGGAACAAGCCGACGCAGCCGTGACCCGACGCCACGCCCTAACTGTAATGCGAGACGGCGAACTAGCGACCTCGACGTTCTTATCGACGGCCACAGTGTGACTGCTATCGTCGATACTGGAGCCGACTATTCTGTCATCAGTGGGTCGTTCGCCGCAAAGTTAAAGAAAGTTAGGACAGCTTGGAAAGGCCCTGAAATCCGCACAGCCGGAGGTCATCTCGTAACGCCTGCAGGAATCTGCACAGCGAGAGTCACCATTAACGGCCGTATTTATCCTACAGACTTCGTAGTCCTACAGCGTTGCTCGAGATATGTCATCCTTGGCATGGACTTCTTATGCTTCCATGGTGCTGTAATCAACCTAAAAACAAGGTCGATAACGTTATCCACAGAAGAAGCACTACCACCGTGCACGCCGTCAGGACACCATGCCTTGAATGTGCTTGAAGGGCAAGTCACCATTCCGCCTCGCTCAAGCGTCATTATTTCAGTCGGCGCTCCTAAATCACCTGACTTGGAAGGCGTCGTTGAAGGCAGTCAGCATCTGTTGGTCACCCGAAATATTTGCGTCGCAAGAGGAATCGCAGAGCTGCGTGGAGGCAAAGCAACGGTTATGCTCACGAATTTCAGCAATGAGTAAAAACATGTGAACAAAGGAACAACGGTCGCATACATTGAAGAAATTGTCGAAGCCACCAGTGCTTTCGCCCTCGCCGATTCTGCGGAACCTGCTCAGAGGAACCAAGCCCCTCCCATAGCTTTCGACGTCAGTCCCAGACTTCCGAATGATAAGCAAGAACAGCTCAAGGCCCTGCTCCTGCAATACCAAGATTGCTTTTCGTCGTCATCGAAAATTCGGCATACCCCAATCACAAAACATCGCATCATAACCGAATAAAATGCCATACCACTTCGTCAGAGTCCGTACAGGGTTTCGACGCGAGAACGTGAGGCCATGAAGAGACAAGTTGATGAAATGCTGCGAAATGACATTATCCAGCCGTCAAAGAGTCCATGGAGATCCCCCGTGGTGTTAGTGCAGAAAAAGGATGGTACGCTACGTTTCTGCGTCGATTATCACCGCCTGAACAAAATCACAAGAAAGGACGTGTATCCTCTCCCACGAATAGACGACGCACTTGATCGGCTCCATAACGCCATGTACTTCTCGTCAATGGACCTCAAAACTGGCTATTGGCAAATTGAAGTCGACGAAACAGACCGAGAGAAGACGGCGTTTATAACACCGGACGGCCTCTTCGAGTTTAAGCTGATGCCCTTCGGCCTTTGCTCAGCACCTGCAACTTTTCAACGCGTTATGGATACAGTACTGGCAGGATTGAAGTGGCAGACTTGCCTTGTGTACTTGGATGACGTCGTCGTGTTTTCCACGAGTTTCGACGAGCATCTTCGGCGCCTTGAAGCTGTACTTCAAGCCATCAAGACGTCCGGACTCACACTGAAGCCACAAAAGTGCAGATTTGCGTATGAGGAGCTCTTTTTTCTGAGCCCGTTATCAGCAAGTCTGGAGTTCGTCCCGATCTACGGAAAACAGCCGCCATCGCCGACTTCCCGCCGCCCGCTGACAAGAAGGCCGTGCGCCGATTTCTGGGCCTGTGCGCCTATTATAGGCGGTTCGTGAAAAACTTCGCCCGCATAGCCGATCCTCTCACTAACCTTACCAAGGCCGACGTGGAATTCAAGTGGGAAACGCCACAGGAACACGCTTTCCAGGAGCTTAAACATCGCCTCCAGACGCCTCCGTTACTTGCCCATTTCGACGAACTCGCCGGGACAGAAATACATACTGACGCAAGCAGCGTAGGTCTTAGCGCCCTTCTTGTGCAGAGGGCTGACAGACTTGAAAGCGTTATTAGTTACGCCAGCCGATCGCTATCCAAAGCCGAAGCAAATTATTCCAAAACAGAAAAGGAGTGCCTCGCCATCATCTGGGCTACGTCGAAATTTCGCCCCTACCTATACGGCAGGCCCTTCAAAGATTTGAGCGACCACCACCCCTTGTGTTGTCTAGCCACCTTGAAGGACCCTTCAGGTCGCCTCGCACGATGGAGCCTGAGACTTCAAGAATATGACATTACTGTCATTTG